GGCGACAGCGGCGGCGACGACGACGGCGGCAACGTCGACTGGGGAAACAGAAAGGTACGGATACCGTCGCTCTCGGGAGCGTCCAAGAGGGCAGCGTCCACGAGGGGGGTTTGCAACTCCTGGGCCGAGGCACGTACGCCACCCAAAGGTGGCCAGGGGACACAATTGAAACAAAACGACGGGATCTGACATTTGACGAGATATCCTGGTCCTGGCAAGAATCATACCACCCCCCCTAATCATCACCCCCTCCTGGCCGCACTAGATACTCCCTGGACCTCTTTCCAAGAGTGGCCCCCGACCATAATCCCACCAGCCCTTTGGGCGTGAGTGGTTTAGGGAGCTCTCTCTGTCCTCAACCCCCCTTCTTCCCCTTCGGGGAGGGGTTTACCCCATCCCCCTACCCCTCCCCCTGGACCTGGAGAGGGAGTCCCGAGCGGTGTCAGGGGGGTCATTTTCGACTCCTGGGAGGGCCAAAAAGCTACTACCCTCACAAGGATTCTGGCCCCGACGGGGGGAGTGAGTTTGGCCCCTCTGCTCGTCTTTGAAGCGAAAATCATTGATTTTACTACGGCTTCGACCCCATTTTGGCCTTCTGAGGGGGCAGCGCTCCTCTTCCTTCATAGCAACATCATTGATTTTACGAAGGTTTTGCGCTCATTTTGTCCTTCTCAGGGGGCAGCGCTCATTTGCGCTTCTGAGGAGGTCGCAAGAGGCCCCAAGCTGGCCCCAGGAGGCTCCCAAGAGACCTCCAAGAGGCCTCCAAGAGGCCCCCAAGAGGACCAAGAGGCCCCCAAGAGGCCCCCAAGAGGCCCCCAAGAGGCCCCAAGACGCACCAAGAGGCCCCCAAGAGGCCCCCAAGAGGCCCCCAAGAGGCCCCCAAGAGGCCCCAAGAGCCTCCAAGAGGCCCCCAAGAGGCCCCACGAGGAGCCCGAACGACTCACACCAGGACGAGGGGCCCGAACGACTCACACCACGAAGAGCCCGAACGACTCACACCACGACGAGGGCCCCGAACGACTCACACCACGAGGAGCCCGAACGAGTCACACCAGGAGGAGGGGCCCGAACGACTCACACCAGGACGAGGGGCCCGAACAACTCACACCACGAGAAGCCCGAACGACTCACACCAGGACGAAGAGCCCGAACGACTCACACCACGAAGAGCCCGAACGACTCACACCAGGAAGAAGGGCCCGAACGACTCACACCAGGACGAGAAACCCCAAACGACTCAAACCACGAGGAGCGCTTTCTCTCCCTCCTCCTCCGCCTCGTCCTTCTCCCGCTCCCCCCACAAGGAGGATGTACAAGGAGGCGGGAGGAAGGAGTAACAGGGGAGATATGCGGGGCCAAGCGGACACACGCCTGAAAAACACGACTGTCGGCATGCTTCGCAAGAGTTGCTGTCGTGAGATGGGCTGGTGGGGATACGCGAAGCGTAAAGAATTTAAAAGCGAATCCCGATTTTGGCGACAAGGGTCAGGTCGGGCATGTCCTCCCACAGGCAAAGCTTGGACGAGAAATGAAGAACGGCCCAACTCTACTGGAATATCATCAAACACAATTTGAATTAGCCTGGCGAAGGACCCGGCCGCATACAGTTGTGAGCACCGCCCTTGTATGTACCGCATTCGGAGGAGCTCCCTGTGGGGCCATGAAACGTGTGAGGGGTGTGCCAAAATTTGTCCTGTGGGCGCATGCGAAAGCAGCAGCTGGGGCTTTCGGTGGAATTCCCAATGGGGCCACGAAGCGCGTTAGAGGTGTGCCGAAATAGGTGCGGTGGGCGCATGCGAACGCAGCCATTGGGGCCGTCGGTGGAGCTCGCTATGGTGCCGCGAAGCGTGTGATAGGTGTGCCGAAAAGGGGTGCGGTGGGCGTATGCGACTGCAGCCACTGGCGCCTTCGGTGAAGCTCCCTGTGGGACCACGAAACGTGCCAGGGGTGTGCTGGCCCAACAAGGAGCCGCGGCCAGGCCACGAGGCGGCCGAGGTCGGCGAAGACGTGCGTGAGGCGCTTCGGCTGACGTCGCTCTTTGAGGCGGCCGTGGACTGGCGCCTGAACAGGGACAAGAGCCGGCAGTTCGCGAATCCTGCGAGCCTCCGCAATTGGCTACGCGTGCAGACCCCAGGGGTCGCGGCCGGCTGCGGCATTCGCGACCTTGGCGTGGTGTCAACCGCAGGGCGGGCACGTCGCTGCGCGGTCGCTGGCGCGCGCACGAGGGCTGCGGCGGGACGCTTTATCCGCACCGCTCGGCTGCCAGTGGGCTTCGGGCAGAGCTGCCTCCTCGGCGCGGCGGCGAGCACGTCCGCAGGCATGTGCGGCGCCTCCTGCGGCCGCCCCCCGGCGCGTGAGTTGGCGGGCCTGCGAGCGGCCGCGCGCCAGGACGTCTGCAGGGGTGGGCTGCGCGCCGCCGCCGAGGTAGTATTCGGCGTGCTCGGCCCGAGCTGGCGCCTCGACCCTGCCGCGGCTGCCACTTTGGCCCCGGTGTGGCAGGCCGCCAAGGCACTGCGTCACCGGCGCTTCCCGCACGAGCTCTGGCGCGCGGTGGCGGGCGCAGTGGACGCAGGGCACGGGCGGCAGCAGGGGCCATTCGCTGCCGCCAGGCGCAGCATGATGGACCTGGGTCCTGGAGGCGTCATCACGCTCTGGCATGGCGTCCCGTGGGCTCCGGGCGGCTGGCGACAGCAGCACCAGCCCCTGCGGGACACTCAAGCGGCGCTGCTCGACGCGTGGGGGCGGCGCGAGGCCCACGAGGTGGCCGGGCGGCGTGCCGACCTCGGGCATGTCGGCGGCGGCATCGACCGTTGGGCCACCCGCCGGTTGCTCGAAAGCGCGGAGCTGGCGCCAGACGCGGCAGGCGCCCTGCGTGTGGTGCTCACAGGAAACGTCGTCACAGAGGGGGTGGCCGCGAAGTGGGGTCGGCGCGCTGGCTGCCCGCACTGCGGCGCCGCGGCGGAAACCACGGAGCACCGCTTCTGGGAGTGCCCCAAGTGGGCATCGGCTCGCCGCGTCGAGCTGCAGAGCGCCACCGACCCTCTCCTTGCTCGGGCGGGGTGGGGTCCCTGGTGAGGGGGCCTGACGGCGTGCTGCGGCGCCGTAGCGGGCCCGTGGGCGGGTCCCAGACCGCGCAACGGGCCGAGCTCACTGCGGCGGTGCATGTTGTCAGCGCGGTCGGGGCACCCTTAGAGCTGGTTTCTGATTCGCGCTACGTGGTCCACGCGGTTGCGGCATTGCGCGCCAGCACTTCTCCCACCGATTGGTCACACGCGGACCTGTGGGAGCAGATACAGCCGCACTGCGAGAGCGGCTTCATCGGGGCGCGCTGGGTCAAGGGGCATCTCGACGCCGCCGCGGCGGCGGGCCGCGGGATCGCTCCAGAGGACCACGCTGGCAACGAGACCGCCGACCAGCTGGCGGGCGCCGCCGCGCGCGCCTGTTTGCCCGAGCGCGCGCTCTGCGTCGGGCAGCTGCACGCGCCGCGCTCCCTCCAGCGGCTGATGGCCGCCGTGGAGTGGGCCGCGCTGCGTGACAACCGCGAGGGCGCTGGGCCGGCTGGGCCCGGGGTGCGCAGGCGCTGGGCGCGCGGCCCACCACTGGCGCGGGCTGCGCGGCCCTGCAGGCAACGGGCGCAGCAACGGCAGCAGCAGCAGCAGCAGCAGCAGGCGCCGGCGGCCTGCCCACCACAATCGCAGCTGCAGAGGCGCGCTCGGCGACCGTCGGCGGTCGGCCAGGGCTTGCCTCAGCGCGGTGCTACCGAGGCCGCCCGCGCCCTCTTCGGGGGCGGCGCGTGGGCGCCGCACGCGGCGTCGCAGGGACCCAGGCGGGTCGCGTGCCCCTGCTGCGGCAGCGCCGCCCCCCCGCTGGCGGGCGCTGGCGGCACAGCCCTGTCCAGGATGGGCCAGCGTGCTGCCGCCTCGCGAAGGGGCGCTCCTGCTGGTGCCCGCGGGGCGGGCGGGGGGCAGCGAAGCGGGCTGGCGCGCGGCGTTGAGCAGGCGGCCCGGGGCGCCGGATTAGGCTAATGTGACTCAGCCCAGGGTTGCGGCTGCTGGTTTCACCCCTCCCCTCTCCTCCTCCCCCTCCCCTCCTCCTCTTCTCTTGCGTTTTCGCCAAGGGGCTCGCTTGCGCTTGTAAAAAAGTGTGAGGGGTGTGCTGGAGCCTTCGGTGAAGCTTCCTATGGGGCCACGAAACGTGTGAAGGGTGTGTCGGATTGGGTGTGCGTGACGCATGCGGGCGGTGGCACTGGGGCCTTCGATGGAGCTCCCTATGGAGCCTCGAAACGTGTGAGGGTGTGACGAATTGGGTGTGCGTGACGCATGCGGGAGGTGGCACTGGGGCCGTCGGTGGAGCTCCCTTCGGAGCCACGAAACGTGCGAGGGGTGTGCCGCTTTGGGCATGCGTGACGCATGCGGGCGGTGGCGCTGACGCTTTCGGTGGAGCTCCCTATGGGGCCACGAAACGTGCGAGGAGTGTGCCGAATTGGTTGCGCGTGACGCATGCGGGCGGTGGCACTGGGGCCTTCGGTGAAGCTCCCTATGGGGCCAAGCCACAAGTGAGGGGTGTGCCGAATTGGGTGTGCGTGACGCATGCGGGCGGTGGCACTGGGGCCTTCGGTGAATCTTCCTACGGGCCCACGAAACGTGCAATGGGAGCGTGACGCATGCGGGCGGTGCAGTTGGGGCCTTCGGCGGAGCTCCCTGTGGGGCCACGAAACATGTCAGAGGTGTGCCGAATTGGGTGTGCGTGACGCATGCGGGCGGTGCAGTGAGGAGGAAGGGGAGGAAGGAGGCGGGAGAAGGAGAACGCGGGGCGCCGTCTCGTCAAAACGAGGACCCAACATCACAGGATGTTTGGGAAAAATCGTGCCCAGAGTATGTTCATACTATTTTCGAACATGCCTCCTGTACAGGGACATGCCCGACTTGAGACAAGGGCAGGGCCGCGGCATCGACGTCGTTCTCCTCCTCCGATCGACGGCAACGGCGCCGGCGCCGAGCGGCTGAGGCCCCGGCAGGTCACGCCGCCGCCCCGCAGCCCCAGCCCCAGCGAGTCGAAGAGGCTGCGGACGGTGCTCTCGTCAGTGGAGCCGCCCAGGGGCCAGCGGCCCCCCCCCAGCTGCCACGAGAGAGAGAAGGGGCACGGGTCCTGGACCCGGGGGCTTTCCCGGCCTGCTCGCAGGACCAGCCCGGCCCTTCATGGGACGAGGATGATGCCAGGCCGCGCTCCAGGAGTTCCCGGGCACCTAGCCGCTGGATGCCCGGGAGTGCCTGGAACAGCGCATGGGGATGTAGGGACCCTCGTGCAGATCTAGACGCTAACAGGGCCTCGTTTCCGCAGCCACTGTGGGAGCCTTTGGGGAACCTCGGAAACCTCCATTCTGACGACCAAGTGCTCCTCGGACTTCATCCCGAGTCGGCATTGAGCGGTTCTGGGGCCCATGGAGGGCCCTGGGAGCCCTGGTAGTGTGTGGGGGGAGGGAAGGCGGCGTTGCTTCCCCCCACCCCCCCAACCAGCAGAGCCGAGGGAACGCCAGTGGCGGAGGCCGTCCTGGGGCTTCCCAGAGGCTCGCGGCTCGCGCCATACGACGGCCGAACACCTTGACGCGTACATCTTATACGATTCGCGAGAACGGACGTCACTGGGCATGCTCCTCCCCTGCCCCCCTCACTCCACCTGGTATAATGTCACGATTCGCGCTGACGTCGTCCGGGACCGGCCAGGAGTAGCGAACACTCCCAAATGGCGCCAGCCGGCGCCAGCGCGAAACGTGACGTAACCGCCGTCCCCTCCCGCCACCCCACGATGACGCCTGTCATCGCCTGGGAAGAAAATTTCCCCAGAGGCTCAGGGCATGCAGCGACCGAAGACCCTCACCGTTTCGAATCGTTGCGGCCCAGAGAGCAGTCATTTCAAGGGCTCGCGCCGCATCGCGCAGGCTCTCTCAAATAGAGGCCCCCTAGATGGGGTAGATGTGGTCGGAGGATCGAGCAGCATCGCCGATACATCAGCTATGCATCGGCGACGTACCGGCGATGCATCGGCGATGCCCCGACGATGCTTCGTCGACGCTGGCGATGCATCGGCGACGTCGGCGTGAAGCAAATCGGGCTCCACATCGAGTCGCATCGCCAACGCATCGGCGATGCGGCGCGATCCTCCGACCCCATCTACTCGGACCCCGTCTGGGAGGCCTTGTGGGGAGACCACAGGGTACCGATACCGCTGCTCCCAGGACCTCTCCTGGGGAGCGTTCTGACCAGGATGTCAAGGCGAATCAAGCGGTGGCGACGAGGGCCGCCCAGGAGGCCCAAAAAGGGGGAAACGAGGGAAGGGTAAAGGTATGGGTGCCTTTTTCCTCCTCCGACCTAGAATAAAGGGGCCCCAGGAAACACAAATAAATACACACAAATAAACAGATTCCCCATCATTTCCCACATGTTCTGGGTTTTGGTCTTCCCCCCATTTCCCATAGTTTCCTATATCTTCTGGGGAAGCGACGATTCATTGTGTCTGTGTGGTTTTTCCCGTCCTGATGGAAAGGGCTCGCTCAGAGGTCCTCGTCGGGGGCCCTCTCAGTGGGCTCGCAGGGCAGCGTCAGCTGTCGGACGGGGGGGGCCCGTCGGAGGGCCCCCCCTCGGAGGTCCGCCACGGGGACGCGCAGAGGTCGGGGCCGGGGAGGCAAACTCCTGGGAGGGCTGCGTCAGGATGCCTTTTGAAGGTCTTCAGGACATCACACCAGAGAGAACCCCTAGCCAGTGGATGGTCTGAACTTGGATCAATAAAGAAATCGATGAGGAAATCGACCAGGAACCCGGGCACCCAGGAACCCGGAACCAGCCGAAATCGACCTGCCATGGAACCGATAACCAGGACCCCGGGAACCCCGAACCGGGAACCCGGGAACCCAGCCGGCTACCAACATCGGCGGGAAACTTTCGCCACATCTTTCAATATCCGGTAGGACCCTTCAGTGCAATCACTGATTGGGGAACTAGGCCAGATTACCCCCAATGGGTCTTTCGAACACCCCAAAACTTGAAACAAATGATATGTTCGGCGACCTGATTGACGTACTGGGGCCCCACCAACTGCAGAAGAAAGTTGTTTCCCCGCGGCACCCGCCGCACAACAACGACGACGGGATGAAGAAGGAGGTTGTGGGCAACGCCTTCGGCGAATGTGTCGATCTAGATTGCAATCCTATTTCAAACGCTTTCAAAATGATGTTGTCGCGCTGGGTAGCTTAGGGAGCATTGTTCCCTGGGGAAGCGAGACCCCAACATTATCCGAACAAGCTAACCACAGAGGAAATATGATCTCCGCAGCGACAACGACGACGATTACGACCACGACTACGATTACGATTGCGACTACGATTACGACCACAACCAGGACTACGATTACGACTCGAATCGCGCCTACAATGACGATTACAATCACGATTAGAACAACGACTACAACCACAACCGCTGAATCCGATTGACATCCTCATGAGAAGATGCTCACACATCTTCTTGCGTATAGGGTAGCCCATAAAGACTACGATTACGACTACAATATCTCCTCCTCCTCCTCCTCCTTCCATCCTCCTCCTCCTCGTCCTCTTCCTCCACAAGTACTCAATATGAATACTACTCTCCCTCTTCCCCTGATGACGGTGCTGGGTGTGTTCGACCCCTCCCGCGTACTTTTTTTTTGCACACCGGATTCCCGGGAGTTGAATTTTCGCTTGCATTTTTTTCAAAATGCTGCTTTCGCTGAGGCGCCGGCCTCATTTTCGGGCCCCGCTCGTTCCGAATCGTGCTCCCGCTGCAGCGCTGGCCTCATGTCCGTGCTTCCGCTCGTTCCGAATCGTGCTCCCGCTGCAGCGCTGGCCTCATTTCCGCGCTTCCGCTCGTTTCGACTCGTGCTCCCGCTGCAGCGCTGGCGTCATTTCCCGTGCCATGCCACGGCATGCAATGCAATCCTAGGTTGATACTACGCTTTGCGGTGCTCTTCTACGCCATGCCATGCCGTGCCCTACAATGCATCGCGAACCCTTTCGCGATCATTGCCCTGCTCGACATCCGACTGTTCGAGTAGAGAGGGGATCTACGCCATGGTAAGGGATGGGAGGGAGGGGTAGGATGTCAGATATGACGCGAGCGCACCTAGCTTGTCCTCCCCCCTCCCCCCCTCCTCCTGCTCCTCCTTCTCTTGGCAAATGAGACGAGGCGGAGCAGGAGGAGGACGAGGACCAATGTAAACCCAAGACTCATCAACGATGTTGGAGCAGGAGGAGGAGGAGAAGGGGAGGAGGAAGAGGAGGAGGAGGAGGAGGAGGATCAGGTCGAAGAGGAATGACGAGTTTCTTCCCCGTCTAGAAAAACAGAGGGAGAGGTAACAAACCATTAAGCTGGATCGAGACAGATGTAGCCCGGGATTAAACCGAAGTAAGAGGGTTTAAACCGAATTAAACTGAACTTGCCTGCACTTGACAAGATCGAGCCGGATCCGCCCAGGCTCCGACCAGGAACGGACCCGAGCCCACGCACAATCTGACCTCCAGGGAGTCGCATCGCAATCGAAGTCTCCACGAGGCTCTCATGGGGCAGCGATGATCAGGGGGGGAGGGGACCGGCTCGGGGGTGCGGGACCTCGACCTGGAATCGGCGATGCGTCGCCGACGGATCGGCGACAGGCCCCCGACAGCAAGTCCGCGTGCTCGTGGGCGGGGTGTGGGCCGCCGCGCCCCGATCGGCGAGGGGTGGGCGAGTGGGGGTCGATGCGTCCCCGCTGAGCTCAGGTCGGGCGTGTCCTTCCACAGGCGGATTTTGGACGAGCAATAGAAAGTAGTCAAAAAATACTTCAGAATGGTCAAACACTTTCTTCAATTGCAAACAAAAGAAACCCCCCCAGGCGATATTTGGACCATGTTGGAATATCCCTCCTGCAAAGGGACGTGCCCGACTTCACCCCGGTCCGATCCCCGCCCCCTGGAGCTGCCCCCTGAGGTTCTCGGCTAAGCACACGTGGGAGAGGGCAAGACCGCGAGGAGATAGGCTGGGAGACTGCCGGGTCTGGAACCGTCCCCCCCCCCGCGCCTATCTTGAGCAGGGACCCGACCGTCCCAGCTTTCCGATAGGCCTACCACGAAATGTTCGTAGAACCCCCAAATGTTCTCAGAACGTGAGAAATGTGCTTAGAACGAGGGCCCGATGTGTGGAAGCAAGACAATATCGGCCGGACATGTTCTAAGAACACTTCGCGCGACCCACAAAAAAAGGTTATGAGAGCATTCTTGGGTGGGCCTACAGGCGAGCCGGGACGCTTCGCCACTGCTTGACTGTCCCTCCCTGGCGCTGCCCCCGAAGTCCCCAGCGGAAAGCACGGCCGGGAGGGGGCAGGATCGCGCTTACATTGGTTGGGGACTGCGGGTCGATGCGTCCCCCCTGGATGGAGCCCATGCCCCACGGCTCTGCCCCCGAGGTTCTCAGCGAAGTGCGGCGGGGAGAGGGCAAGATCGCGACGAGATGGGTTGGGGGGGCTGACGGGTCTGGAGCCTGTGCGGCAACCGCGAGTATAAACGGTGATGCGTACCGGCCACTTGACAACGTATAGTGTCGAATTTGCTCGCGGGCTCTCCGGGCGACAGGTGTTGAACACACACACACACACACACACGCACACACACACGCACACACAGACAGACTGACAGCCAGACACACACACAGACGAACAGACAGACAGACGGACAAACAGACACACAAGCACACACGCTCACATGCACACGCGCACGCACGCACGCACGCACGCACGCACGCACGCCGCCCCCCCCCCAACACACACACACACACAAACACACACACACAAACACACGCACACAAACACAAACACACACGCACACGCACACGCACATACACAGTCACAGTCACAGTCACAGTCACAGTCACAGTCACAGTCACACGCACACGCACACGCACACGCACACCCACACCCACACCCACACACCCACACACCTACACACACACACGCACACGCACACGCACACGCACACGCACACGCACACGCACACGCACACGCACACGCACACA